TTTTTTTTTTTTTTTTGTAAAACATTCTTTTATTAAAAGAACAAGTGCTGTTTATGAACTGCCCTTCGTACAAATAACATCCGTTATACAAAGATACAAGATCCGGGTTATGCACAATTCCAGGCTTGGAAGTGAGAGGAGGGGGGCATTGCCTTTTGGGCTGAGGCTATAAAGGAGGTTCTAGAAAGACTGTAAAAGGAGCCCCTGGGTTTGCAACTCTGGCTTCCCCTCCCTGCTCCCCTAGGAAGGTTCTGCTACATTGAGACAGGCTGGGATGGATAGGGGGAAAACGGGGCTGGGAGTCAGGGTTTGGGTCTCCAGTCCTGCCACCTGAGTCCCAAGTTGGGCTGGAGGAAGTGAACAAAGGGCAATGAAGGCACCCCCCAGGCCCCAACTTTTCAGTAGATCAAGTCAAAGTGGTCGGGAGCTGGACACACTTTGAATCCGGATTGATGTGACTGGAAGGAGCCAGAGTGTTGTGCCCCACTTCCTCCAGATTCCCCACTGAAGTGACCTTAATCCGTCTGGGCACCTCTCCCCATTGAGATAAGAATTGGGAGCAAGCCGCCTACTCCTAACTTGGGCCCACCACACACCAAGGAAGATGCTGGAGGTTGGCAAGGGGAGCCCGTGCCTTTGAACAGTTGTCTGCATTTCCAGTTCCGGGAACTGGAACTTTCTCAGAGCTGGCCCTTGGCTCTGGCTCCCCTCACTTGTCTAGGCCCTTCCCTAGAACTCAGTACAGGAATGGGTGGGGCGCTCTCAGCCTCAAGGTTAGGGGCACCAGGAGGCAGCGGTAGACCCAGGAGCCTGAGGGGAAAGACACACACAAATAGGAAAAACTTAAAAAAAAAAAAAAAAAGCAATCTTTAAAGTGTCATTGTCTATGGAGAGGATCCATCAGCTCTGAGCTAAGACAATCAGTGCTACATAGATACCCTCCCACCCCGGGGCCCAGCCCAGCACTCACACACACAGGGACAGACAGCCAGCCACATGGAGGTGGTGCAGTGGGGGGCGAGAGAGCCCAGGACCAGGAGGCCAGGGTCCTGAGGGCTGGTCCTGGCTCTGCCCCAAGCCCCTGCCCCTCCTTGGCTTGGAGCTATCACCTGTGAAGCAAGGAACTGGCTCCAACCACCCCTAAAGATAGGTCCCTTCCAACTCTGACACTCATGCACCAGTCGTGACCTCAAAGCCGGACAGGGGTTCAGCATGCACACCCCCTCACACCTCCACGCTGAGCGTGATCACACACGAAGCACCTCTCATGCATTTTCAGACTCCATTTCCGCCCTGCAAACCAAATCCTTTCTCTCTGCTAGGCAGAGAGATCTACAAATCTGTGTCTTTTCCCACTCCCCATCCAAATTCATCCTGGAAAAAGGGACAGAGGCTGGAAAAGGAGGGTGAGGTCACTAAAGCCACTCCCCCTGCACTGGGATCCTGAAGATCTCCAGAACTTTCCTATTATAAAGCTCCCTCTGAAGAAGGAAATGCACGACCTCTCACATGCCCCCCCCCCGCCCCAAATTGAGGGACAGCAGCAATCCATACTCAGCCTGGGTCCCTTCTTCCAACCTAACCTACCTACGGCTGCACCCCAGCCTGGGGAAAGCTGGAAAAACATAGGCTCTTGGAGATGAGAAGCCCAGGCTCATGGGTGCTGGGAGGGAGCGCGGAGGTCTTGGTTCCAGTGCACTAAATCCTAGGGACCTCTCACTCTCTGCCACAGCGGCCTCAGAGAGGATTGGCTTCCCTCAGCATCCAGAACAGAAGTTGACTTAGGCTCTTAATGGGCTGGCCTTGGGCAAGGGTGTGAGTGTGAATGAGCAACTCTTCTAAGAACCTCTAAAGGTTATTCTTCTTTTCAGTGGTTTGGGGGCAGGGAATTAGAGAGCTTAATAGATGAAGATGAATAAAACGCTGAATCCTATCGTTTCTTTCTAATTGATATTTAGCATTAATAAAATGTGAGTATTTCTGAGGTCATCACAACTGCCTTCCCCCCACCCCCAAGCCCTTGCAAGTGCCTAAGAAATTGCCTCTGAAGGATTCCCACCCACCCCCTCCTTTATCAGCTCCCTAACATCTTACAAAGTCTTATCAACAGGAATATTAATATTATTTTCAGTATCAGAAAAAAACCAGTTGAGCAGCACAGGCAAAAATATATCTGCACTACGTTTCTGTCGTTGCCAAAAATATACACATCTTCTTTTCTTTATTAAAAAAAAAACCAACAATAACAAAAACCCAAACAGAAACACACACAAAAAATCCACACATGCAAAGACTGATGAGACACGAGCATCAGGGAAAGCTGGAAACGCCTTCTCCCGGCTCCAACCCCAGTGCAACTGAAACAGAGACACAGGCTTCACCCTCGCCCCGCTCCCGGCTGCCCGACCGGCCCCACAGCCTTTGCCACCAAAGGCTCTGGGCAGGTGGGGGCTCCTTAAGGTGAGAATTGCCCCCTACACCCCGGGGAAATAGCTGGTGGGTGAAGGGACAGTTGTCAGGTCAGCTTGAGCTGAAGGCTCCCCTGGTTGGTGGGGG